TCACATAAAACTTCCTGAGTCAGACATCTCACCCATCTATACTATGTCAATAAAACATGTAGTTGTCTATTGACGTAGTATCTTATGTCAAATCCACTATGCATTTATGAAATATTTTGGTTTAGCTCTATTTTCTTTTATTAGTTTAATAAAGTTGATTTAGCTATATTTTCTCCACATGAAAGAAGGCTGACTTAACTCACTCTCTCGCTCTTTCAACAGAGAAATTTGGTTAGTCCTATTGTTAATATATTAAAAACAAAAGCTAAACTAGCATACCTTTTTACTTATTTAAAATCTAAGTATGTTCTACCTATTTCCCTGTTCAAAGAGTTAGGGTATATTTCTCACCAATATAGTTTAATTGAGTTAGTTTGAGTTGTATTTTTCTTAATAAAAATGCTGATTTAGTTTGATTTTCGTTTTATTTAAGGAAGCTGATTTGGTTCTTGCTGATTTGACCATTACTTACGAACGAGAAGAAGCCGTAGACTTCACAATGCCCTTCATGAATCTAGGAATAAGTATTCTTTTCAGGAAACCCATGAAAAAGGTTCCGAATTTATTTTCTTTCTTATCACCTCTCTCCTTGGAAGTGTGGATCTATATGGCTACAGCCTACTTGGGTGTTAGTATACTTCTCTTTATGCTAGCACGGCTAACGCCTTACGAGTGGGTGCCTTCTCATCCCTGTGATCAAGACTCGGGTGTCTTAGAAAATCAGTTTACCTTGCTCAATAGTTTCTGGTTCACTATAGGATCCTTGATGCAGCAAGGGACTGAGGTAGCTCCGAAGTATGTAAAGTGTGTTTTATAACTTAAGATTATATTGTAAATTCAGAAATGTTTATGGTCTGCATTACATTACTTAAAACTTCAAGAGGAACGGAAGTAAGCGGATAATTTTCAGTTTCAATTATCTGGATTTTTATATCTGTTGAACATATTAATTTTCCAAGTTTAAAGATTTGCGTGAGTGAGAAATGTTTTTAGTTTTAAAAGAGTTCGTGTCTTTATAATATCATCACAATCATTCGTTATTTCGGGTGATAAATTGTTCTTTAACAAATAACCTTAGTTTTTCCAATGTTTTTTTCATGTCGTAGATATGGGGATTTAGTCACATCAATTTTGCATTAGTTTCTTATGTCACTTAATAATAGTTTAACTGATTATCCGATTTTTTTGTTGCCAAACTCCTTTAAAGTCCAAACTTGTGTAAAAACATTAACAAGTCGTTTTATCACAAAACAGTGTAATTTTATTCGTGTAAATACTTCTATTTTTAAAATATATATATAAAACAAAACGGTAGTTTTATAGGTGAAATATAAAAGGAAAAGAAGAAACAAAACGATTGTCATGTTTTCTGTTTATTACATAGTTTGCTCATTATGTATTAAATAGCCCCCCAGCGGCACAGCAGTATGTCTGCGGACTTACAACGTTAGAAACCGGGTTTCGATACCTATGGTGGGCAGAGCACAGATAGCTCATTGTGTAGCTTTGTGAATAACTTCAAACAAACAAAAATGTATTAAATATGCATGCTAATTAGTCTTCTCCAGAATGGAAAATGGAAAATGTTGCCTACATTTTATCCTAATCCCATTTGAAGTTTTCTAGAAAGTTTCTAAATTTTCTGTACTCCAAGTTTGTCCAGCAATAGAAAAAAAAGGTTCAAGCATTTTTCTATTCGTGTTATGAATATGAAGAGGAGAATTGAGTGTGCACAAAATTTGATTGTTAAAAATGTAAAATATGCTTGAAAATGGCTTTAAGAATAACCTGTATTTCGCCATTATTCGCCGCTGATGAAAGCAACTTCAAAGCGTAATATATTAATATAAAAATGTTCAGTATCAAACAATGAACTGAGTGCTTGTATCGTAAGCAAGTAGCGATCACGGCCAGCAGATTTTAGGAACGTATGAGTAAAAGTAAAGAATAACGTATAACATTATGTCAACCACGTCATATTTGCTAAGTCCAGTGTCGACGAAGCTTTTTGATCAATATCAAGGCATTAGGCATTTGACAAACCTAGTCATATTTGAAACTCTACTTATATTATCAAACTAAGTGAGCAACAACTGTCATGAACTAGATCATTTCCGTGATATATAATTTGTATCAATTTTATTTAGGTCATTTCCAGATCAGAATTGGAGTTAGGATTAATATCATATCGTTTTTTATTTATTTGAACACCAACTGTTTATTATTACTTTCTATTAACTCTACTCAGAAATTAGAAAAACTGACGAACAAATCTTCTTTTCCTCGTTTCATTTGTTGGAAATTTTACGATAGAGACGAATCTTAGCGTTAGCGGAATGAGGCAATGAATTTAATCTGCGTCTCTTAGCTGAGGCAGTTTCCTGCTTCTTTTTAGCTGGAAATAGACATTATTCTTGAAAGCATGCTTCATCAGCAGTGAATGAGAAAGAACATCGATTAATAATTAAAAAAATACACACTACCCCTTTATTCAGTTACTCTCGTTCCCAGAGTTCATTTCGCAAAGCTCAGCTCAAAAAGAGTGTCATTAATATTTCCGGTTCTTTCTCACCGATTGTTATTCTTAAAGGTTATCCTCTTTCCCATCCTATGTAAGCTATTTGATAATGGATGTAATATTAATAACAATAATCTTATCAGCATATTACTTCTCTGTGTGAGTTGTTTCCTTTTAAAAGTGTAGTTTAACAATAATAATTACAATGCAGATGACTTGGGTTTATATAACACACAAAAAATACACGAGATTTTAACAAAAACATTTGGGAGAAAAAAACAACCAAAATTATGCTTTGGCTCAAACAGTAGGCGCTAATTTCATAAACAGGGGGAAAATAAAGTGTCCCAAGAATCATTGGTGAGTTACACTGTGATGTGTAAATTAGGAGCTGAATGTAAGTTCAATTTCAGAATGCAAGGATAAAAACATGAAACGTGAGTAATACCATAATTTTAGAGTTTTCGCTCAAACATTCTTGGATATATATATATAAACACACATTACGTTTGTAGCTTGCGACTGACTGCGAAAATAGAAATGTTGGATAAAATAAAAACCTTTCTCTAAATAACTGAGTCATTATAGGTTGGACAGTAAGGATTATTGCTATCCATAAGTGTGGATATTTATGAGTGTATAATTTCGTCAGTGCTAGCATGTGAGTAAAATTAATTTTCAGTGCATTTAAATAAGATATGCTTTGTTTACGTAATCTTGGTGCTAGAAATTGAAATGTTTTCAAGGTATTTAACATTTCTTAACAACTTACACGATAAGTAATCTTTCAAACAATATTGCACATTAAAAGTGTGTGTTTTTTTTTCACATTTAATTCAGTTACTCCTGGAAATATAACTAAGACAAACAATAAATTTCCTGTATCTTTGGATGAGTTCTGGTATTTTATATCCTACTGGTTAAATAATTATGATTGATAATTTAGTTGATATGAAGGATGAATATTTTCTAACAAATGCACAATAACATTTCTTTCCCAGAGCAATATCAACACGTGTTATAGCTACTATGTGGTGGTTTTTTACACTAATAATGATTTCATCGTATACTGCTAATCTCGCAGCGTTTTTAACAATACAGAGGTTGAAATCACCAATCGAGGGTGCCGATGATTTAGCTGCGCAGTCATCAATCCAATATGGATGCTTAAATTCTGGATCTACTAAAACGTTTTTCAAGGTAGAACATTATGATGGTATTGTATCTAACATGTATATTTCTAATAGATAATTATCATGGTATTGTATCTAACATGTATATTTACAATAGATAATTATCAAGGTATTGTATCTAACATGTATATTTCTAATAGATAATTATCATGGTATTGTATCTAACCTGTATATTTACAATAGATAATTATCATGGTATTGTATCTAACATGTATATTTCTAATAGATAATTATCACGGTATTGTATCTAACATGTATATTTCTAATAGATAATTATCATGGTATTGTATCTAACATGTATATTTCTAATAGATAATTATCAAGGTATTGTATCTAACATGTATATGTCTAATAGATAATTATCAAGGTATTGTATCTAACATGTATATTTAC